ACAGATGTGTTGGATTTAATCTGAGAGAGGGGGACTAGTTTAATTGGCCAACCTAAAAAGCAATCGGTTATAATTGCAGTTTACTAAATTGTATTTGTGAACAGAGCTCAAACTTAAAGATTAAACTCACAGCATCAGATTGTTGCTATGGTAACTAAACAATCTAACTATGGATATTGTTCTCTGAACTTTTACAAAGTAAACTTGCCAGCTACTTAAACTCTTACATTTAAATGTTAAACAATTTAAAATCTTTTATTCCATATATGCTGAAATTGAATCAAATTTAGCAGCATTGATCATCTCAATAAACAAGTGTTACATTCATGTATCTGTGGTCTGTGTTAAAATATTAGCATTTATGGGGCCACTGAAGCCCTGGGGGCCCTGATGGAGCTGCTGACTTAATTTGGATTAAACAAAAGTGCAAATAATTGATATTCATTTTAATTGTATATTTTGATTTGTTGTTTTTAAGACTAGTTGTGGGTTTAAGTAGTTTCACTGGCAATGTTTTCCCATAATGTATAATTACCGAGTGATCTTTTTAAATTTCCTGTCACCTTAACATCTTTTAATACAAAAACATGGTGGACAGCCGGTGGACCGCCTCGGCACCCCGACCACCAGGCTTAGCAAGTTTTCTGGGGGAAACCCTGCATTATGTGTTGTAGTTTGGTTCTTATGTCCAGGATCGCTTCTGCTGATGTGATCACATGACTGTCACATGATTTATCAAACGGTTAAGCTTTGCACACCACCATTTTAAAAGAGCTTAAGAACTAGACCAAGAATTAGAAAGGTCATCTCTGTGATTTGCAACAGTGGGGGTTGCTGCAAGTTTTATTATATTTCATAATCTTACTTTTATAGCTATGTGAATTTAAAAAAAGTTCTAAAACATTTTGAGAATTTAATTTGGTGGATTAATTTGGTGCTTTGCAAAGCACTCTGATGGCTTTGCAAAGGTAAAGCCATCAGAGTGCTTTACCTTTGCAATTTTGGCCCACAAAGTAAAAAGTTTGGACACCACTGGGTACAGGATTTTATAAGGCCCAAACTTAAGATTAAATATTTTTTTTTAGACTTTGCAGAAACTATGAATGTTGCAATAACACAGCCAGGAATAGTGATACAAAGTGTGAGCGGTTTGGTTTCCTCAACACATTGATCACCTTCTCTCCTCGACCTGAGCTGCTCTCTGTCGGTCCTGCGATCTGCTCCTTGATAAAGTCCAGGTCCTCTGGCAGCACCAGACCGTGCTCCTCCATGACCGGTCTCAGGTGGTTGTCATCCACAAGGTAGTCAAACATTTTTAGAGAGGCAGCCTCGTGCTGCAAGATACAAAAACGTATTTAAAAAGGAACAGGTTCAACATCATAAAATCAGCAGAGCGTGAGCGGACGACGACTTCCGGTTTGAACAGAAGGAGCTCAGCTGATATTACACCCAGCAGGCTGTTGCAAACTCTTCTTTTACTCACGTTTGTAAAGACTCTGTTTAGTCGTTCTCATGTCTTTATCAGTCTGGGCCGTAAAATGTGCCGTTACTTCTACAATTGACATTAACAGCTCTGTGCAGAAGCCCTGGCTGGCAGAAATGTTTACCTTCCTCAATAAAATCCTATGTAAACTTTAGATCTATAAATTCACAACCTGGTTGAATCCAGCAGACAGGACTTTCTGGCATACTTTAGTTTCTACATCTATAAAACATTTATGTTGTAGTAAACTGGCTTCCACACAGAGGTCGAAGTCTTTTTCCCCACCAAGCTAATGCTTCTCAAAACCATCAAGCCATCTAGCTTTTGTAAAGAAGCTAGAACCCTGTGAAATGCCCAAAATTCACAGATATCAATGGAAGTTAAGATCTTTGTTCCTGGTTTAATGTGGTGGAAAATTAAATCAGAATAATTATAATATAATGGCCAGGCCTTTATTTTAATGACAAGTGAAAAATGTCAGAGTTACATATCGACAACAGCAGTCACTTGGTTTACAGCTGAACTCGTACAGTGCGACTTTCTTTTTGACATCTCCTTAGTTGCCAAATTATTTGACTGTGACTCATAATTACAGCTGAAATTGGCTTCAATCAAACAGGGAACACCCTGTCTTGATAATGGTGAACAAATGGACAAGAAAAACCAGACCATGCACCTCAAGGAGAGGGGAAAAAAAAAAAAAAAAAAAAAGGCTTACCTTCCAGTTAATTCCTGGACGTGCTTTGGGTATAAACATGCCATCGAACATATGTGAAAAAGGTCCATGTCCTGGAAGGGGAAGAACACAGCAATACTGGGTTTGCAGGTTCTTTCAGAGAAATAATTTTCTTTTCTTTCAGAGAAAGAACCTGCAAACTAGATCTTGCTAGTTTCAGAGACAACTAACAAGATCTTAAAAGGGTTTGGAGCAGTGTTGAAACAGATTGTCAGCAACTCCTCTTCTGTTCTTACACCCAGAAACTGAAGCCAAAGTGGGAAACATCTGAGATGAAACCCGCAAATAAGTTCAGTGTTAAACCTAAAGAAATAATTTTGGCTAGATTAGACTGGGTTGTGCAATAAATCAAACTTTGAGCTGTACATAGCTTAGACACTCAGTTTTTATGTACACATACTGCAGTATGTGCTTATAACTACATTACTTTAAAGAAACTAATCCTTGGATGGACTGTTTGATACAATAGTTGATGTTGTGGAGCAACAGGCTTTTAAAAAGAGAAGTAAAGTCTCTTCCATTCTTCATTAGAAAAAGGTCAACATCCAAACTAATGCAGTGAAGTCCCTAAAAGTTCAGAATGCTGCTCATCTCCAGACCGATACTGTGAAGCCGTCTGCCCAGAGCAGCACTGACCGAGGTCATGGCAGAGTCCAGCGATCTGCACGCAAAGAATGTCCCTGCGAGAGATGAGGAGCTCTGGCTGCTTCTCGTTGAGAGCTTGAACAAGTCGTCCGGCCAAGTAGCCAACCCTGAAATCAGCCAAAAACACAACAAAGTGTCACGAGAGAGACACAGCGGTTTTATTACTTGACCTGCTTGATATAGCTGGCCAAGTGAAAACAAACACTTCCATTTAAAAATGCAGCGCCTTGGTGAAGTCTCCACACCCTGCCATTTTGTTCCACATTATAATGTGTTTTATGTGACAGGCTAGCATTTCCACTTCACGTGCATTATAAAGTGAAACTAAAAGAACAGATGGTTCATAAATCTGTCCTTCAGTGCCTCACAGTGGGGAAATTTAGGTGTCACAAGAGCAAGTTAAGGTCAAGCATGCATATTCACATTGAAGGTTTTATAAGATGTATAATTTTATATATAAGTTTGTGTATAAAAAAATGATTCTTTACAAGAACTGAAAAAACTGTACAAACTACTGGGATGTGCAAATAACTGCTGCTTAAATTTTTTTTTTTTTTTTTAGGAGAAGTGATAGTTATAATGTCTTACAACTCCTGGGAGGAACAATCTGAAAATATTGAAAATTGCTGTTGTGAGACAGTACAACCAGTCTGAATGAGCGTTTTTTTCTTTTCTTCAGTAGTTAGTGGAAAAATATCTCTAAGTGTGCAAAGCAAGGAGAGGTGCAGCTGTAATTGCAGCAAAAGGTACAGCTACAAATGAAAGTGACTCACAGTGTCTGAATAGAAATGCATGCAGCAGAATTAAGATTTTATTTGTAAATGTGTTTGAAATAATTTTCTTCTCACATAGCAATAACACACTTTGTTTTGGTTCATCAACCACAAACCCAATAAATAAAAATAAACTAAAAGCTTGTGGTTCAACTTGACAAAATGTGACAAACCTTCCGAGGTACTGATGATAATTTTGCAAGGCACCTTGTGAACATTTCTCTCCCAAATCATTACCTAAAGTTAATTAACAGCAATTAGATGAGACATGTAGACATTTACCCAATGCTGTGTTCAAAGCGGTTGTGGGAGGCTCCAGGAAAAACGTAATACGTCCCTCCAAGCTGCTTGATGTTTCGAAGTCGTTGAAACTGAGGCGTGTCGATGATCTTAATGAGAAGTGGGTGCAGCTCCACGTGGCCGTGGATGGGATCATTGAAGACCTGACAAACAGGTAGGAAAAAGATATTAGAACACAATCAGTTCACGATCAGCAGCATCAAAAAGGGGTCAAAACCAAAACACAGAGGAGACTCTTCTTCTTCCTTTGTGCTGTCTCTGTAGATGCCCTTGGACCTACAGTCTGCTTAATGTTATCTGAACAGCCTTGACAGTCTGTCTTAGTGGGAAAATGTTTACCTTGCTGGGCTCAGCTTCAATCTGCCACAGTTTCCTGAGGCTGTGCAGAATCTGTAGACGGTCACCGAGACACCTGAAGTGAACAATCAGAAGATTTTCCTTTAAAAACGTCTTCCTGAGCTACACAGATTCAATGTAGAAGCTGAAAAGGAAGTACAGGTCACGTTTCCTTTCATCCACGATGTCATGTGGTTTTGTGGAAAGATGTAAATGCTTACTTTATGCCAATCTTTTCCAGGTCTTCATCCCTGAGGTATCTCAGTCCCACACCTGTAATCTTCTCAGCTGAATCCCATCAGAACAAAAAGCGCAATGTCAGTAAATATGTACAAACCAAACATCCACGTCACGTTTGCCTTGCTAACAAGCATTATATTTATTTGTGACCAACTAAAAGTAAAAGCGAACCTCTGAACTTATCCGTCCACTCTTCAAGTCCTTCTCTTTGCAGGTACTGGCAGGTTTCCTCGACTCCCCACCGCATGAAGCCGGAGTCCGGAGGCGAGCCTCGGACCACTGACACTCCCTTCTCCGGGGTTTTGAACTCCTCATCCGAGCTAGCAGCTGGCCCCATGGGTCGCTTTCGACTCGCCATGTCGATCACAATAACAGGCGTTTAGCTGGTTGTCTGAATAAAGACGGGAACAAGTGAAGCCGGAAGCAGTTTCTCCACGCTGTCGGAGACGCAGCTGATTCGGCACCAAAAGCGGAGAAAGAAGGTGAAAATTACCCGGGTTTTGTCGTTTCGCCCGAGCAGCTAAGCTAGTTCAAAACACAAGCGACTTTCCGATTATTTATTTCAAAATAAAAGCCCACTTCCCCCCCTTGGATATCCACATCAGTGAAGTGACACAAAACCAAAAATAGTTACCATTACTCGTTTATTTAAATAAATGTTATAGTTAGCATGCTCAAGTTATCTTAACACAACTACTCCAACTCTACTCTCTACATAGTCGATTATACCACAATTTAATTCTCTACGTTTTTTTCTTTTTATATTATTTGTCTCACCACTTAACAGCTGAACATTTTCTGCCAATAAAGTAATGTTCTCTCTATTGTATTTGACAATACCCTCTTTTACATAACACTCCTAGGCATGATAAAGTATAGTACAGTGATGACAAATGGCTTGAAAATCAACCTGCCAAGTGTTATAATAGACATTAGTCATTTAAATTTGAAGTGTTGCTTGGCCAACTACAATCCCTAGTGAGTTTGTGTACTATTATTCTTTGGAAAAGAATGGTATGGGGAATTTCTGATCCAGTCCTTATGAATGTATGTAATTGACATGTGCTCATGTCAATTACACACCACACCTTCAATTGTCCCACACTGCTGGAATTTTCTTGCAGTTGTGCAGGACATTACCGACTGACTTTCTGTTTCTTTTCTTGAAATAATCTATTGTCTCTTTCCTGGACATTCAAGCCATTCAAGAACCAACTGATGCAACTAACTGTATGCCTTTTCAACCCATAGATCTTAAGACTCAGAATTTATGTTTCTACCTATGGATTTCTCTTTCTTTAGCATACAGAAATTGTGTGGCATTTCTGTTTTTTAATTTTATTTCTTTTTTCTGCTCTGGCCTCTGACATCCAGCTGGTCATAAAAAATGGCATGACATCTTGAGATGAGTTCTGCTGAAAGTTTCTTCCTGTTATAATGGAGTTGTCCTTTCCACCCCTGTCACATGCTCACTCCGGAGGAGGGATTGTTAATAACTTTTATTTACTGCGTATTCACTTGAACGACAATGGCACACCAGGCTCAGCAGACAGAACATGAACAATTGAGCTTGTGTCAAAATAAGAAGTGTAAGTTTTTACATAAAATGTATGTGTGGTTATGTGTTTTTGTGCATATTTGGTTAAAATGCATATTCTTCATTTGGTGAAGTAACTTTTACTGAAAATACAGCAGCGTTATAACAACATTACTCAAGTAAACATAAAAAGTATGGTGCAGTAACTAGACATAATTTCTTTAACAACAACAACAAAAAACTCATGCAAATGTAACTGACTAAATCCAACTATTACCCACCTCTGGTTTATTTTTTGTAGATTGCTGTTGAAGCACTGAAAAGCATTACGATGAAAATTTAGTAAAGTGTTATTTAAAAGAAAAATCTTTCCTTGGAGGCTTGTTTTTATTTTAATTTGGAAGTTGAACACTTCACTTCCGGTGTGACATGAGCAACCTTTTGACTGGTTATTTTGACGTATCTCAATTGACGCAGCGGGGCGGGGGAAAGTGTGTCGGTGAACAAATGTAGCATTAGGAAATGTAACGATAATAAGTCGCATCAATAATTTTTAGTCTCCTCTGATTCCATAAAAAACAAACAACAAAAAATAGGAACATTTATGCATCCAGCGCTGTATTGTTGGTAGGGTATCAACAATAATGTGTGTGAAGAACAAAGAAATGAATGCATACGTACTATGCATGACTTTAATGCAACGATCAAGAAGCACAGCCAACCATTTTGCGTTTTGGTTGCAAAGTGAGACTTTGGGGAATTAGCAGTAAAAGCGGAAGTATGTGTCTGTTCTTTAGTCATATAAATGACTTTGATTATTGTCTATTTTCATTTTATAGACGTCCAAATTCCTAGGTGTCACTGAATGTACCAAAAAAAGAAAAAAAAAAAAAACACTAGCCCGGTTGCGCACTTTTATTGGCTCATTGATTTACAGATTCATTCATTGATTTATTGATTTGGTTGACAACAGTGAGGCCATGATGACAACAACGAAGACTAAGCAGGTTATAGATGTACGAAAATGAGTCGATCGTCTTGCTGACAAACAATACAAGAGACGGACCCTAAAAAGGAAAGCTTCACCCGCTTTACACAAAATATCCTGCTTTGCAAAGTTTTCAGTGCATTAAATTAACATCCCATGCGCTTCTACTTGTCATATTTTTTTATATAAATAAAAGCTATCCTTCAGACGTATAAAACTGTATATCTTTACGAGTTTAATCACAGCATATCCCTTATATAGGTCATATTTTCACAAACAAAAAATAGAAGATAAAATATGATTATTTTGCCCTGAAATCACAGTAATGTGAAATGACATTCAATTAGAGAAGTCGGTTCTTGAGGGCCGCGATCCTGCATGTTTTAGTTCTCTCCCTAGTTCGTAGTAACAACCTCCTCAAGCAAGTCAGTATTCTCCTTAGGCCCTCTAACGAGCCATCATTTGATGCAGGTGTGCTAAACCAGGGAGATAACTAAAACATGCAGGATGCCGGGCCTCCAGGACCGACTTTGGACACCCCGGTGACACCTAGAGCTAATCGTGCCTGCACCACTATCATCCCAACAATGTATGATTGAGATTTTGGTTGTGGTATTTCTGTGAAAAACTAGGATCAACATTAATAATGTTTCCTAGTATTTTTAGTTCAGCTGTTTTGTAGTGGGGGGCTTGCTTGGCTGTGTTTATTTTAACGTCTGCTGATTGATATTTTGTTGAAACTGCAACTGTGAGTTCAAACAGGTCCAAGAGGAAATAGTGTGAACCTTAAAAGGAATTGATTTTTTTTTTCTGTTACTCCATTTATAAAAAAGAAAATGAAGGACCATGGAGCTAATCATAAATAGGTATGTTATTTATTAAATTATCAAATTAACCTTTGCGAAATCCAATCAAAACATCTCACATTTTTCAATTCTGTCTGCGAATATCTGTCATATTTCAATGTGTTTCAGCAATGACCACAAGATGGCACTATAGCTCCGGTCTTGGATTTAATTTGCCCTCCTGTACGATCCTGAAAAATGAGTTAAGAATGCGAATCACTTTTATTTATATTGCCAGCTGCTTTTTGTCGAGCCTGCATTTGTCTGATCTGTTATGAAAAAGCAAAACAAAACACATTAATCTATAAGCAATGATAGAATGTTAAAACATGTGAAATGTTTACAACAAGCTTTACTCACAAAGCTCACAAATGATGAAAGACAAAACTAAATGTTTGAAACAGAAATACTTTTTTTATAAAATGTCTACTTACAAGTCCAAAACACACCACCACAAAAGACGCAGACAATCAAATCCTGTTTTTCACAAGCCCAGGTTTTATTCACTGATGTCATCTTAATTCTTAACCATATGCATTGTTTCTGCAGGGCCGACTCGCAGCATGTTAGTCTGAAACCAGTTAATGTCTTGAAACATTTCCCTGTAGATGATTTTTTTTTTTAGATGTTTTTAGGGATTTTAAGATAGCAGTTTGAAATAGCACTTTGTTTATGTGTTTAATCACTAGCGTTATTGTATTTACATACATATAAGTGTGTCATATGTTCATAATACTGCAAAAGCCTCTTAAGAGCAGAGCCACTTAAAGTAGCCCATAAACATTTTTCACCCTTGTGCGCTCACTGGTACTTGTATCCACACGTGAGGCACCAAAGCAGAAAGCCTCTTAGCCTACAAGATTTACTTTGCTAAGTATTTATAATCACTGCAGATATTTGCAATAGTTCAACATTTTTATAATAATTTGTCCACAATCCATGCCACTTAGAGAGGTTGTCATCCAGGCGGGCCCGTCAGTGGTTAAAAACTTCAGCCGTTCTCCTCTAAGCATCGACGGCGTATGTTTATTTAATATCACAAGGTTTTCAACTTGTGACATTAGGCTTGAATTACCCTGTTAAAACAGGACAACAACTATTAATATTGGTTAATTATGAAAAGAAACGAAAATAATATGACATAAAGTACAACAACAACAAAAAAAGAATGAAGTAATTAGTAATCAGCAACATTTTGTGGCCATATGAGCAAAACTGTTACATGGAAAACAAAATGCTGTTTAACCTGGGATCCCTAACTTCAATTCCTTTATCAGCATATATAAAACTTCATTCATCAGCTATTGTCAAAGGATTTCAGCTGTCTATTATAAAAGTGAATATTATGCTACTGTATGCATCTTTTCATGAAGAAGAAACTGGTAGTGCATAATATAATAAGAAATAATGATTTGATTTTAATCATCTAAACATAAAATTTTAAGCCGGTTTAGTGAGCAGATTTATTTTGCAGGTCAGCAAGGAGACTGAAAGTCTGGCAGTGGATTCCTGTTGACAGATTTTATTGCTTCCCCGCACCGCAAGGGTTGCAGGTTTATCACTGCGTAACACCCAAACACCCCAGCTTGAACTACAAATCATGGAACAAATTACTGCCACCGGTGTGTTTCACAAAAGGAAAAGCACAAAGCTAAATGCATTTTGTGACATGCAATGGAAAATATGAACATATTTAGCGCCTTTATGGCCTACTCAAAAGATAAAAATGTCAACCTGTACTCATTGTTTTTTCCTTTAGAAAAACTACTTTTGCTCAAAAACAAAAGCCATAATGAAGCCAGTCTGTTGACCAGCACCAGTTTTTCTCGGGACACAAGAACCAAAAAGTAAATAGTAAAAGGTAAGTGAGAAGTTTGATGTTTTATTGTAATGCTCCTTTAATTACGTTATGCTATGATTTATTATAATGAGCTTGATGCAGGTGAATAATGACACAATGACACAAGTTCTTGTTCAGATTTGTGCTTTTTTTGTTCTTTCTCACCAGAAAAAAACGTGAAAGTTTGACAACATATTGATTCAAATAATTTATTTACTGTTGCAGAACAAGTATAAAATAGTTCAACACAAGGAATATCCTTATTTTTTTATAAAGCACATCTTTTTGCACAGATCACCTTAAGCATCCACAGCAGCA